TGGACATGGAGGAAAGTAAGTTTGAGATACCAGACCTTGGCACTTGTTGTTGATACTAACGAAGGTATCTGCGAAGTGGTGGAAGAGGGACAAGCGGTGCTGAAGGTGGCGCCGGCGGTGGGGCCCATGTCAGCGTTACTTACGACGACTTGGATACACTGATCGGCGTAGATTGGGATGTGTCCGGCGGTAAAGGTGGCGCCCCTGGCGACCACGGCAATGGAGGCGACGGCGGCACTGGCGGGAGTGGAGGGGCGGGATACTTCTGGTAAACGTCGACCTCTCCCGTGCTGTTAAGAAAGTATACTTACAGCGCGCCATAGGACCGAGTCGATCCCATACAGTGTCTACCGTGCTGACGGGTCCTTCTCCCACACGGCGTACCACAATGAGTACCACTCCAATCCCGGCGGACGACCCGGACGGGGAGGAGACGGCGGTTCTCGGTACATCGACCCTTTATTCTCAGGTGCCAACGGCACCGATGGCTACACCGAGGTTTCCGTCCTCGGGCGGGACAACAGCCGGGCGGTGTATTCGTCTCGATATATGCTTGTCGTGTCGAGCTTCGACGTCATCGACGAGAACGAGGATATGATCATGGAGCCCGGCGAGCACCTCATTGTGAAGAACATTGTGGTGCAGAACATTGGTATGCTATCCCCGACTGCTCAACTGAAGAGCGTGACGCTAACTCTCTATAGGCGGCATGCCTTCTCCCGGCCCCAACACGCTCAAGATTATGATACGGAGCACCAAGTGGCTCGACCCGGTGATGGAGCCCCTCTGGATGCCGGGCGACATCCCCCCTGGCCATAGCGTCACCCTGCCGGGTACCCTCAGAGCTTACATCAAGAATGAATACGCGCCAGAAAATCCGCGCGCGCCAGGTACCGTGCTCCGCGCCAAGGATGTTGTCCAGCTCGGGGCCTACTCGGAGCGCCTAAGGCGAGAGGTCCCCGAGTTCCGTGGTGGAGTTCCTGTTGTCTATGAGTACCCGCTCGTCATGAGCGTGCCTCGGTACCTGGACTGCGTAGCCAAAGGCGACTGGGTCCGATTCTCTTGGACAGTAAGTCTTGTCACATCAGGGGTTCGGGGTACAAAGGTACTGATCTCTCGGCTTGCAGGTCCAAAATATCTCCAAGAAACCGTACGGACGCACCAGCGCCATGGGGCGAATCGCGGGATCGTTCCTCACCGACCAGCTGCATTCGTTTGAAATGTCAGGGGTGGACCCCAAGGCGCCGCATGAGCTCACCAACATGGTCGAACTTATCGAGCCGGGCGGTGTGATCCCCCTCACCGTCTCGTTCCAAGTCTCGGAGGCTGTGGAGGAGTACTCCACGGGGAACATGGTAATCAAGCTGAAGCTTGCAGACCCCCGCACCGGCGAGATGCGCACAATTGTCACCTTTGACCTACGGATACAGATATCACCATCGTATCGGTACAATCCGTCGTCGCGGTTCTTGCTGGTCATCACCGCGCAGTGCCGGAACAGCTATGTCCGCCAGGTGATCGACTTCATCGAGAAAGGCCTCCATCTGGGAGTTGATGTGTTTAACCTGAGCCTTAGTGGCTCATTCATGACGACTTCGACACGCGAGGAGGTCCTTCCGAACTACTCGGGCAAGACGATCCTCATCATCGGCAACACGATGAACTACTTCCAGAACGGGACGCGGGAACCCTGGAACCTCCTCGACCTGGACCAAACGGCGCGGCTCGCCCGGGACGGCACGAGTTTCCTATTCCTGGCGCCGACGAACGCGAAGAGCCTCGGAGACTTTGCCCGCCTGATCTCGATACCGAACCCCGCGACGCCGCACCTAGAGAAGCCGGAATCTAGGGACCTGTCCGACATAGTGCACAAGCTGGCGATTGACAAGCCGAGCGGTGTTATGACGCCGAACCCCGTATACACCCTTCCTGTGAAGAAACCGGCGCTCCGAAGCTTAGAGAAGCAGCTGCAGTCGAAGGCGAAGAAGATACAGACCAAGCTGGACACCGAGTTTCCGCTGAGGCGATTCCTCGTCGTACCATGCGACCCTGACCATGCAGCCCTGGCGGATCCGAAGAAGGCTAATATTAGTGGAGTTGCCATCTCGGAAGGGCTCTCATACAACGCGAAGCTTGTCGCCTCATGTCTGCCCTACACCGGGCACACGACGGCGCTCACGGATTACGACATCGTGATGATCATGCACTCGTTACCCTTCAAGCAACAGTGCGCCATCTTCTGGAACCTACTCGGGATGGAACCCTCAGCGGCGGTAAGCGCCGATGCGGTATACGCTGGCGATGTGCTGCGGTCTTATCGCAAAGAGTACGTGGGGGCGGAGAAGGGACAGGTGGAGAAGCTTGTGCATGGGAAGGTACGTTATGGACAGTCTAAATCCCTCTCTATGTTGCTAATGAAGACAATAGGCCTGCCAGTCTATTGGGTGGTCGTTGGCTACCCAGCTGGCATCTGAGCTGGCTCATTTTTGCGTTGGCTCTCCCTGGCCAGACACCTCCCGGTCGCAGCTCTCCCTGACCACACAGCTCTCAAAGCTGAGCTATTTCATCGCCACGGCGCCGAAGACGCTGGCCCTGAAGCCCGAAGCGGGCACCCCGGCGCTCATGGCCATTATCGGCCTCGTCCGTGGCATCCTGCTGCCACGCGGCTTTGGGCAGTGGATGGGCCAGAAGGTGATCCGGGTGGGCAACCGCAAGAGGAAAGTACGGGGGCTTGTGTCCAGGGCATCGGAGCCCCTGACGAAGCTCTGCGTGGTCGAGAGCCGCAAGGACAGCGCGCCGGAGCCGCCGCTGGACCCGAAGAAATTTAAGAAGGCGAAGCCGATTGTCAAGAACAAGTCGCCCAAGGAGGAAATCGACAGCATCGAGCTGCGGACCAAAGAGGAGCTCAAGAAGCTCAAGAAGGAGAAGCCGCAGTTCAACGGGGTGGCGCGGGTGCACGCGCTCGCCTGCACGCGCCTCGCGCAGCTGACGGGATGGCCGGGGGCTGCGTTCATGGACGTCAACGACCTCGGCGGCATCAAGCGGTCGGTCGCCAAGACCCGGGTGGAAGTGGCCAAGTGGAGGAGCGTCCATTCCGAGAGGCGGGTCAGGTTGGATGCCGACGTCGTATGGAGCCACCAGCGGCTTTGCGAGATGGTCATGCCCGGCCGACCCGAGGTCGAGGATGTGGTGGAGGAGACGATTGTCCTGCCCAACGCGGTCGAGCTGGAGGATCCCGGCAACAACCCTTCTGTGGGAGGTGGTGCATCTACGGACCTATTTTCTACTTTATTCCAGCCAAGGTGATATTTGGGGAATCTGTGGTGTGGAAGGAACCGAGGATAATAATAATAGGAACGAACAGGGCAGATGAGAGTAGTAAAAAACGCCTCCGTAATCCAAGCCTGCAATCTATACTGGAAACCCCACCCACTAGTATGGTGCGCGAATATCATGCCGCGGTCGCATCCCCGGGGTGTCGAGAACTACCGGACCGAAGCTTGCAAGATGCTTTATAAAGTCGTGTCTGGAGCACTGTCGATTCTTTATGGGGTTGCTCGAACATGCTATGCAGTACAGCCCCCACTGAACTTGCTTCGCGGGCATCTCGAAGTACGGGGCAGCGACGGTGGTCATGAACTTAGCGAAGCGGGCTGCCCGAGGCCGACTGCCGGTATCCGGAAGCCCAAATGGGCGGCGGTTCGAAATGCATCGACGGTCCCAAAGCTGTAGCCGGCCAGAAAAGCGTCGTGCCTCGGGCCCGTAGTGTCCGGGAATGGCCCTGACATGTGGGAGACGCTGGATGTCGTCTAGAGGTAGCTTGGCGTAGTACACAACTTCGGGCTCTATCAGAGGGCTGTTGGCATAGCTGGGCCTGCTTACGGACCGGAAACAGCGTCTGCAGAAACGGGTGCAGGTGAGGAGGCAGAGGTAACCGCCGAAGTGATCGCATCGGCTGCACGCCTGCTGGCACAGGGTCTGGAACAGCGTCACGAGGGGGTAGTGAGCGGCCCCCATGGCGAGGATGTAGCGGAGGATCGAGCGGCAGTGCTGGTAGATCATGGCGTATGGGGGGATGGAGTCGACCACCTGCATCGCTCGCCTGTTGACGCGGCGGAATGCGGTTAGCGATGGCACGTCGAGGTGGACGAGCACGTTGGCGAGCAGCTCGAGAGGTATATCTAGCTTGCCGAGAGTGCAGGTGGGCGTCGTGTCGTGGCGGCCGTTGTCTAGCGGACACTGCGCTGAGATGTCCATATCGCTGAGGATGCCGAGAATGTCAGTGAACCTGGTGGTCGACCATCTCGCGATATGCTCCGGGGTGATGAGGCGCTCCTCCATAGTTGCGTGTGGCTTCGCGGGCCACTGCCGGCTGAACTCAACGGTGCGCGGGACACGGCCGTCCTGGTCTGAGAATGTGCATCGATATGCGTCGAACCTACCGGACGGCAGGCAGGTGGACGATATGTGGGAGAGAATCGGCGACCAGCCTTGCGTAGGTGAGCAGCTGCCTGTGACTGTGACGGCCTGTAAGCCTCTTGTCGTCCCGTCATGTGGACCTGAGGCACAGGCTGCAAAGCTGCCTGGGTTAGTGCCAAATGGAATCTGGGGTAACGAACCACGTCAGCGGCACCTGCCGCGTGTCGATCTTGTTAACACATACTAGGTAGTAGCTCGAGTGCGAGGAATGGAGAGAGAAATAAAAAATTCTGTGCTGGTGAGTTGCCTGCCTCATAATCATATGGATTAGGTACCAGCAAGCAGGCACTCTCTTAGAACGAGGACGAATGCGCACCGTTTTGGGGAGCATGGGCCCCATTGGCTTCTAGAAGCTCCCCCGCAGCCACTGCTGATCAGGCAGTTGGAGACGAGGGCTCCTGCCTTGCAGCACAAGCACTGTACCCTACCAGCCATTTCTGGCCCGCCTCACACAAGCTCGCACATCTGCACAACCCCCGGACCTCAAGATGAGGCAAAAAAGAAGAAAAAGAAAATAGACACGACCTCGGTGAGGCTCGAACTCACGATCTTACGGTACCATTTGCTTAACAGCCGTACGCCTTAGCCAACTTGGCCACGAAGTCTTCCTGGTCACATGACCTTCCCATGTTGCACTTTCCCATTAAGAACTTGGTGGGAGCTTAGGTCATCGGCGCATCCTGGCAAGCCCTGGAGATTGTGGGGTCTGATCCACCTGGAAATGGAGAAAGGTTTCACTCGTCCGACTCTCGTGGAGTGGTGACATGGATGCACGTGCGGCAGCAGTGTAGCGCGCGGGAGCGGGAGTGTAGGAAGGTCGAACCAGAGCTGTTTCGAAAGGGTCGCTCTACCTTGGCTGGCGTAAGTCGATGGAACAACGGAACAGGCGGCTTGCTAACGAAGTGCTAACCCTAACCCCCCGCTGCATGGGACCTTGCATTGGGGAGGCACTAGCCTAGATCGACCATTCGGCAGACGGGAGGCGTGGTGCCGCAGTACCTTAACCTTATCCCAAGGTCCCGCCCGCATTCTTGTACTGAAAAGTGGGTACCTCTTCCCCTTTCAACATTGGGAATAACTAAGGAATAATGAGCAATAAAGGTTCCTTGCCAAGCCTGCGACTCACTTTTCCCCGGCAAGCCGCACGACCACCTGCTACCTTACCCCCCCTTTCCCTGCCCGCACTATTGAGGATACAAGTGGGCCTGGCTCTCGGGTGGCAGTACGAAGTAAGCATGCGGTTCCATGCGACGCTGCTGATCTCGCGTCTGGAGGAGCGACTAACTGTGAGACAATGCCAGTTGGTGTCTTGGCGTACCAGGATCGAAGACCCTACCTGCACACACTGCGCTCCTCCGCTGAGCTGCCCGCCCAGGCCACCTTGTAGCTGGTCCGATGTCTGACCTCCTTGATCGACCTTGGCATGCCTGGGGGCCAGAGCCAGCGTCGGTCCGTGCCTCCATTTTTCCCTTCCTTTTTGGCAAAATGATAGATCCCCATCTGCCGGCCGTGGCGGCAAGCCTGATCTTTTAGCACTGGAGGGGGTTTCAACCAGTACCGCTCATTCCAAAGCGCATCTGCCATTGACAACGTGGTTTCCGTGGCTTCAACGTCGCCGGGCCTTTGGATTTTGTTGCTAAGCTGAGCTGAGCTGAGCTGAGTCAAGCAGTTGGCGTGCCGCTGGCCCTTGGATGCAATCGCCTCTAAATCCCCTCATTTCCTCGCTTTCCATGCCCGCGAACCTGGTTGCCATCATCGCCGTCTAGGGTGAGCAATGGCAGTCATGTATCGCCCCTTCCGTGGGCTTCGGTCGCGGCATCTCGTGCTGGCCATCGTCGGCGTCGTCGTCCTCTACCACTTCCTTATCTCGTCCCCGCTGGATCCTCCGCTCGAGTCGCTCCGTCTGGAGCAGGTCATGAACAGCAGGTCGGCGTCTGCGTCGGCCCTCAAGTCGAATAACAGCTTTGACTGGAGCAAGGTTGAGTACCGATACCCCCCCGGCAAGCTGCGGCCTCTCCCGTCCGGCGCGCCGCTGTCCCTGCCTCGGGTCCAGGCGGACTTCGGCCCGGAATCGTCGGCGGCGAAGCGAACCCGGGAGGCGCGCCGAGACGAAGTGCGCAAGCTCTTCATCAAGAACTGGGAGAGCTACCGCAAGTATGCCTGGGGCAAAGATGCCCTGCAGCCACTCACCGCTGGCTTCAAGGACCAGTTTAGCGGGTGGGCTGCCACCCTCGTCGACTCGCTCGACACGCTTTGGATCATGGGCCTGAGGAAAGAGTTCGACGAGGCTGTTGAGGCTGTCGCTTCGATCGACTTTGGCAGGTCGAGCTCGCCTAATGTAAACATGTTCGAGACCACAATTCGCTACCTCGGCGGCCTGTTGGCTGCTTACGACCTCAGCAAGCGGAAGGTACTGCTTACCAAAGCCATTGAGCTAGGCGACATGCTGTATGCTGGCTTTGACACCGAGCACCGCATGCCCGTCGACTTTATCAACTTTGCACTCGCGAAGGAGAGCGTCGGCCTCGCCGTGGAGGGCTCGGTGGTGTCGGCATCGCCAGGCACGCTGTCGATGGAGATGACGCACCTGTCCCAGATCACAGGAGATCCCAAGTACTATGACGCTGTGGCTCGGGTCATGGATCTCTTTTACAGCGGCCAGAACGAGACACGAATCCCTGGAATGTGGCCCATGTACGTGTCGATGGCGGCGAGGGACGTCGTGTCCGGCGGGACCTTCACCATTGGTGGTTGCGCAGACTCGCTCTACGAGTACCTGCCGAAGATGCATGCTCTGACTGGCGGGCTGGAGCCCAAGTACATGGAGATGTCACGGGCATTCATGCGCGCCGCCGACAGGTCCCTGTTCTTCCGGCCAATGCTCCCTGACAATCCCGACATCCTCATCTCGGGCAACGCCGACGTCACGCCGGAGGGCGCAGCGAGCCTCGATCCGGAAAGCGAACACCTCTCGTGCTTCACCGGCGGCCTCTTCGCCCTCGCCGGCCGCTTGTTTCAGCAGCCCGGCGATGTCGACCTCGGCGACAAGCTCGCCAGGGGGTGCATCTACGCGTACAAGGCCATGCCGACTGGTATGATGCCAGAGCGATATAATATGGTGGCGTGCGAGTCGCGCGAGCATTGCCCTTGGGACGAGAAAATCTGGGCCACGGAGCGTGCCCTGCGGCCGGAGTGGAAGCCGCACCTCCCTAAAGGCTTCACGACGGCCAAGGATCCCCGTTATATCCTCCGACCCGAAGCCATCGAGAGCGTCTTCGTGTTGTATCGGGTCACCGGCCGCCAGGAGTTCCAAGAAGCTGCATGGGACATGTTTACGGCCGTCGCCAATGGGACGTGGACGGAATATGCAAACGCCGCGGTGCTGGACGTGACCAAGAAGGCTCAGAAACTGCCGCAGGAGGACTACATGGAGGTATGGCAACTACCCATGTCCCCTTCCCCCTTGCAAACTGACACCGTTTCTTAGAGTTTCTGGCTGGCCGAGACGCTCAAGTACTTCTATCTCGCATTCTCACCGCCCGATGTCATCAGTCTCGACGAATACGTGCTCAACACCGAGGCGCATCCCTTTAGGCGGCCCACCAGACAGGATGCTGCTCCACGTCCTTTGTAGGTGATCTCTTCAAGATCTGTATAAATATATTGGAGCATATTTGGCGTTTTACTAGGACTGGAATGGGGTTTCATAGCGTGGGAGACACATTTATTGGGGCGTTATGGGACTACCCGCGGCTTGGGGGGATCCGGGCTCGACAAGCATCAATATCTGTCTATGGAGAATTTTATCTGCAATCTAGGATTTTCCCAATAATTCCCATGCCTTTATCTCTGGCTGTCTTGCGCTAGCAATAGATTCCTCTATGTATGAACCGACAGCGGCTGTCTAGAGGGAAAACAGGCGGACCTCCTGCCCACCACTTTCTCGGATCAACTTCCTGTTCTTGTAACCGTACAGCAGCCGTAGTGCTGTACCACCGGCGGCTACGAAGAAGAGCATCGCGGCGTTGGTCCAATGCCCAGTTGGATAACCGCGAGCCGCCTCATCCGCCTTGTAAATCCAGACACCAGGGATCTGCCCGCATCCGGCCCCAAACCCAACGTTCAGAGCCACAGCGAGACCTATAGACGCCGTCGAGTACACATTTGAGGTAAGCCAGCCCAGCATTGGAGGGATGCAAGAAAAGGCGCCAGCCGAGGCGATGATCAAGCAGGCATACCGCGAGGCATAGGCGCTGGGGGGGAGCAAAGCCGAGGCCATGAAGCCAATGGCTCCTATGAAGGCGAACGCAGCGCTGTGCAGCCCACGGGCGTTGAAGTGGTCGGCCGACCACGAGACAAGGATTTGGACAACTAGGCATTGCCGTTAGCACTAGGTTTCTCGCACGGTAACAGGGTGTGCAATGGTGCCAAGCCATGGGAAGGGAGGGAAGAAAAAAAATGGAGTCTTACCATATGCCACTGCATAGGGAGGTACGGTCATCAATTGGGCCTGGAGATCGTAATACCCGAGACCAGCAGTGATGGAGGGCGTGAACAGCGATAGTGAGCTGAACGGCACTGACACGCCAAAGTAAATGAGATAATGTCCATATAGACGCCAGTCGGTGAGTGTGTTCTTGGCGTCCTGCCAGGTCATGCTGCTGTGGCTGCTCTTGCTGCCCTCGACGCGCAGCCGCGCGAGGGCGATCTCGCGGTCCTCGCCCTGGAGGAACTCCTCCGGGTAGTTGGGCAGGAAGAACCATACGAGAAAGGCCGAAAGACACGAGGGCGCGCCCTCGAGGATGAATAGCCAGCGCCACGCCGCGAGGCCGGCCGTCTGGTTCATGTGGCCAATGGCGAAGGCCAGCGCACCGCCAAAGGCGCCCGCAAGCGTGGCGCTTGCCAGTATGAAAGCGACGCGGATGCTGCGCTCGTCGTTCTTATACCAAAACGTCAGGTAATACACCAGCCCCGGGAAGAGGCCAGCCTCGAACATGCCGAGCAGGAAGCGCGCCCCGACCATGCCGCCGAAGCTGGACACACCTCCCAGGCCCATGGTGATGGCGCCCCAGCCAAACATGAGGAAGGCGAGCCAGCGCGCTGGCCGGAGCTTCTTGAGCAGGATGTTGGAGGGGACCTCGAAGAGGGCGTAGGCGACCAGGAAGATCATCAGCGCCAGGTTGAACTGATACTGAGATGTGCCCGTCTCTGTCTGCATGTCGTTCTTAGCCGTGGCGTTGAGGATGCGCGCATTGCCAATGTTGGATCGGTCGAGGTAGCAGAGGAAGTAGATGGCTGCGCATAGCGGGACGATGGCTCTGTCCTGCTTCCGGACTACGGCCCGTTCCTGGGCTTTGGTGTACTGGAAGGTCGGCGTGTACTGCCTTGTGTCAAGCTTGTGTCCATTTCAGCGGGGATAGGAACGAGCAAATACCTCATTCGTGGCCGAACCGGCGCTGCCATGCTCCTCCAGCTTCTCCTCCACGGAGTCATGCTCTGCGATAGAGCTGTTGGTCATTTTGTCGAGGTTCTCGACTGCTCTCTGTCTAAACAACCTTGAAGCTGAGCAGGACTTGGCTCTTTCCTATGACCACTGCGCTCGAAA